AACAGAGGGATCATAAATGGATGGAAAGACGTGATTTAGGATGGCTCAATAACCCGATCTATATATTTGTTCCAAACAACCCGCCAACCAGCCACGACCCAACGAACTAGCAAACATGCATGCTGATGATGCCAATCAAACAGCCATGCTTGCTTCACGCGCTCATGCGCATCTTTTATCTTTATCGTGATTTTCCCATCTTTAATATCTGTTGCACCTAAACAATACGGAGGGGTTTGGTCAAACTCCCCTTCGTGTTCGCGCCTCCGAGTCCGATACAAGTCTCCACGTATGTGCGCGCGCGACACTCTCGGTTAGCTGCCTCGCGTGACGCCTCTAAACGAAACTCTGAGACCCCGTTGGCGTTGCGCACCGCCACGCTGTGGAGGCCGTCGCCCTGCTCTCACCCCGTTGCGGATTCCGCGTAGAGAGTCGCTCTGCGCCTGCACGATCCCGCCCCGCACCGTCTCCTCTCTCGACCCCCAGCGCAGGTGTTGTCCACGCGAGACACGGCGCGCTTGATCCGCTCCGCCACGAACCCCAGCGGCTGTGACAGCACGTCGAACACCTTGACGGTCACCAGCTCCCGCAAGACCGCGTTGCTGAAGTAGTTCTCGGGCTGAGGCGGGCGCAGGCGCTGCCGGATGTTGGCGGGCACGCGGAGCCGCGGGGAGGCCCCGGGCGCCGCACTCACACCGTCAAGGCACATTTCGTATATTGATCCAAGTTTTGAAACAACTAGCTCAGCGGAAAATTATTTGAGTATAAGTTTAGCTTCAATATGTGCAGTTTAGCCAAAAAAAAAATACTATACTTGACACATGGAGATGGGGCAGAGAGAATGGTGTGCTCTAATCGGCTGAGAGAATAAGGGCCCGTTTAGATGTCACCCAAAAGCCAAAAAATTTTGCATAGTACCTGTCACATCGAATCTTGCGGCACATGCATGGAGTACTAAATGTAGACGAAAAAAAAACTAATTGCACAGTTGGGTGAGAAATCGCGAGACGAACCTTTCAAACCTAATTAGTCCATAATTAGACACTAATTGCCAAATAAAAACGAAAGTGCTACAGTGGCCAAAATCCAAAAAAAATTTGGATCTAAACGGGACTAAGAGAGGATGATCTGTGTATGATGCTCTGGTTCGTCGAAGCTGCATGCCTCACCATGCTTCACGCGCTTAATTAAAGTTTGCCAGTCGTTGTAGATCGACTCCACTTTTCCTACTCCACTAACCACAAAAAATTAGCTAAAAGCTAATCTCCGACCATACTTTTGGTTATAGAAGGAAGTGAATGTACTGAAAAGTTAAAGCCAGCATGGGCGGCATCATTCTCTTTCGCACCTAGCCATGGACGCGCATGATCAAACTACCAGAATGATGAAAGAAAAGGGTAATTGAGTAATCCGATCTGCATGTGTAGCGCATTCTCTCCAAAAGTAGAAGTTGCGCTCCTTCCTCCCACCAACAACCCCATCGGCATTGCATTTCTCAGCGCATGGCGCGGGACAGGGGCATGAGTGAGTCTCCCGTGTGTGTTTGTGTGTGGGTCTCTCTTCTGTGTTTTTTCAGACAATGGAAAGAAGAGTCCGGCTTTATCCCTTTGAGGACTAACGACCAAATTATGAATCAAACGTCTCTTGGTAAACATTTTTTTTTATAAAAACCGACTCAAGACCTAATCTTACTATTACTAATTAAAGGCACTACGTTGATTCTCACCTGACGTGCTAGTCAAAAAAATAAATCCTAGAAACTCTCAAAACAATAAGAAACATCTAACATTTAATTTGATAGACTTTTATCATCATTGTTGATAATGGGCATTGGATCTGTTATAATTCATAAAAAAAATACATTTGCTATTATGAAGAATACATAAAGTAACCTTTCAATCTTGCCTCCAAATTATCCACATACCACTATGAAAGATAATTCAAAATAACACCGTAAATTTGTATATGAATTACCCACCTCTGCTATTTTGAAAAATAATTCAAGCTAACCCCTAAGTTTGCATCTAAATAAAATCGCATTTGTAATTATTAAAGATAATTCAAAATGACCCCCTGACATTACATCTAAATGACCCACCTTTCTCATTTTGAAGATAATTCAAAAAACTTTCTGCCAATAGCAATATCACAAATTATTAATTTTAATTTTATATTTGTCAGGTTCAAAAATTCGGGGTGCCTCATGAACCCGCTTCTCAGCAAAGGCTCGGCCTAGCAGACGATGTTGCGAACGACGCACAACCCCTGGGCCGGCCTAAAAACCTAACAAAAGGCCAGAAGGGCGACCCTGGCTCCCTCGCTTCCGATTCCGGCCCGCCTCTCCGACCGGAAGGCCTGGCCAAGGAGGAACGGCGCGCGCTTCCGACTCCAGCCCGCCTCTCCGACTGGAAGGCCTGGCCAGCTCGCCTCCCACTCCGGCGCTCGCTTCCGAATCCGGCCCGCCTTTCCGACCAGAAGGCCTGGCCAAGGAGGAACGGCGCGCACTTCCGATTGAGACTCGCTTCTCCGACCAGGAGTACACCAAACCTCTGTTTACAGCTCTTCTTCGACCGAAAGGCCGGAGCCGACTGGGGAATGACCGACCGGGGACGCCCGCTCGGTGATCGGTGAGGACCCAGGAAACGGACAGAGCAAGTAAGGCAGGCCGCTCCAGTCAACCGTAATATCAGGGACCGTACCCTGCGTGCCTGCAGGATGGTACTGTCAGACCATGCCGGAAGGGTGCTTCGCAAACCTTTCAGGCATGTCAGGACTCGAATAGTGTTGCGGACGACGTCTTTTGCCCTACAGTGTTGTGGGCACCGTCCTTCGCCCAACGGTGTTGTGGGCGCCGTCCTCCACCATATCAGGCAAATACGACAATGCCTGCCACATGCGTGTGACATAAACAGTATTGTAGGCGCCGACGACCCTCTTGTACCCGACAGCGTGGGTAGCAAGACTACAAAACACACACACACTCACTCTCTCTCTCTCCCTTATAAGGCCGTCCCCTTCATCTATAAAAGGGGACGCACCCTCTCCCAAAGGGGATCGGCTTTTCACAAACAACAGACAACATACGGATTGCTCCGACTCACTCTCTGCTAGCTTTAGTCACTCTAAAGCTACATAGAGCATACATTCCAATACTTAGTGCACGTAGGAGCTCCCGTCACTCTCGCCCCTTCGGTCCAGAGTCCGACCGGACCTCTGATACCCCCATCTTACTCCCTCTCGTTTGTAACCCCACAGCAAACTTTGAGCACCTGGGCTTAGGAATAAAGTCATCGACCGACCCAAACTGGACGTAGGGCACGTTGCCTGAACCAGTATAAACCCTGTGTCATTGAGTGCTAGGACACATACGTACGGTAAAACGACAAATATTTACTAGTTGGTCACTTTCTGCACCGACAATATTAATACTCCATGATAATAGATTTCATAATTTGGTATTTCGAATAAGTTTATGCATTTTGAACATTATATCATATCAATATTTGTAACTTAGTTTTTAGCATTCTACATTATATAAACAACACTACTGTACATATAATCCTGTGTGAACAAATAAAAGAAGGCGTTCATATGAATGGTTAAAGAGAATACAAGGATCTAGACATAACAATAAAAGAGCGAAGGACAGTGGAGGCAATCGTCTCTGTGAATCATCGATTTATAGAGCCTAACATCTTAGATGATCATTCTAAAATGACCGTCTCTATAAATAAATAATTGTAGATATATACCTTTTAGAAGAGCGTCGCCTTTGTAAAACAATTAACCGAGGTGGCAGGCCCGTTTCTGAAAAGTAGCAGTGTGGTCACAAAAATAATTCACAATTTTTTTATTCGAAGTTGCATGAAAATAAATTTATATCAAAATTATTGACCCTGATGCTATCTGTAATACTATACCTTTGAAGTATTTGAAGCTGTTCAGACTCTGCCTGCCACTACCAGCTAAGTTAACTAGGCGACCATGGCCAACTATAAAGTCTCCTTCGTTCCCCTCTCAAGCAGCCAAGAGAAGCCACCGCAGTTCTAGTTGTCGCTAACCACCTCACATCTCCTCCGTTCTTCGCTTAAGTCCATTTCAGCTCGTCCGCCCCCTCCGGCGCTGGCTAGCCGCAATCCTGGTCATCAGCCCATCAGCCTTCAGCTCTTCACCACCACCTCCGCCAGCGTCCATCAAGCAGAGCAGTAGCCACACCAAGCCAGAGACCGGATCCAGGCATCTCCAACCTTGCAACTGCTAGGCACGGCAGGCGCCATATTCCACAAACCACGCCGGGACGTGGTTTGTGGAACGTACTTCCAGTTCCAGCCATCGTTCAACAGGTCCGTTTCCTTGACGCCGTGTTTCTCTGCATTTAATTTTTTTACGCGTAGCTAGCTCTGCGTCCCAAGATTTACTACTTCAAACTTGTGTACTCGTTTATAGATGATTGATGCATCTCTATGATGATTGATGCATGTAACCCGCTGCCCGGCCTGGCCAGTCCTCTTGCTCTACTCTACAACACACCAAGGAAGTGAAGGGCACAGCCGCACAGAGTATTCTCTCTCTACCGGCTGCAAATCAAGGTGCATAGGCCTAGTCTCTCCCGGCTCTCTCTATTTGTCTTGCCATCTTCCGATCCACACACACACAAATATACTCACACAGGTACGGGTTGACAACTTGAGAATGGTGTACCTGCTTTCAATCCCTTGCTCTTAGCTTGTTATTCACGTCTGATACTCATTAATTTGTCAAGTCCGTGCTTTTAGCTTGTTACTATGTGCCAGATCTGGTACCAAAAGTAACCAAAATGGCACTTTAGTTATCGTTTTGTGATTACTCTTGTACCTACCAAGTGCTGCAGTGTGCCCGTTTCAATACGTGCCAAGGTTACAGGGCCCTCGATCGTTGGTTTTACCATCAAGATTACCTTTGCTTTAAACAAATCAATGACCTTTTTGTCTAATTTTGATTTTGTAGATACCAAACCAGCAATGGCGGTGGTACTGGATGCTTTAGCATCCTATCTCCAAGACATGTTGTTGGAGATGGCTAAAGAAGAGGTGCGTCTGCTATTGGGTATCCCTGATGAGATAAAAAAGATGGGCATCAAGCTAGGGGACCTTAAGAGGTTCCTCGCCGATGCTGACAAGAGGAACATCAGCGACGAGAGTGTGCAATCATGGGTGAGAGAGCTTAGGAATGCCATGTATGATGCTACCAACATCCTTGATTTGTGCCAGCTCAAGGCCATGGAACGGGGTCCAACCAAGGATATGGGCTGCTTCAATCCCTTGCTCTTTTGTTTGAGGAATCCTCTCCATGCTCATGACATTGGTAATCGCATAAAAAATCTTATTGAGAGGCTAGATGACATTGAGAAGCGTAGCAAAACCTTCAACTTCATCAACCTTGCATCTTATGAGGACGGCACACAAAAGGCAGAATCCTCTTGTCGTGCTAGGCGTGAGACAACAGGAGAGGATGAGTTAGGTGTGGTTGGTGAGAAAATTGAGGAGGACACAAGAAATCTTGTGGATTTGCTTACACACAAGGAGAAAAACCTAAGTGAACACAAAAAGGTTATGGTTTATGCTATTGTGGGAGTTGGAGGGATTGGCAAAACCACCCTTGCCAAGAAGATCTTCAATCATGATTTCATCAAACTAGAGTTTGAAAAGAGAATATGGTTGAGTGTCAATCAAGAATTTAGCGACATTGATCTATTAGAGAGAGCTATCACTGAAGCACAAGGAAACAATCAAGCACCAAGAAACACAAAGGCCGCACTAGAGCGAACCCTTAAGGAAGCCTTGAAGGACTGCAAGACCTTATTGGTGATGGATGATGTTTGGGACCAGCATGCATGGGAGAAGGTGCTCGAGCCTCCAGTGATAAATTCACTTGCTAGAGGAAGCTGTGTTCTCGTAACAACAAGACATCGCACGGTTGCTCGAGGCATGATGGCAGAGGTGCCCTACCACCATGTCGACAAATTAGTGCAAGAAGATGCCTGGTCTTTGCTCAAGAAGCAGGTTCGTGCAAGTTATTTAAAGGATTTAATATGTTTCATATTCATGTGTGCACATTTGCTTCACTATCTATCTAAATAGTTAGTAGTCTTGTACATTTGCTTCACAATCTATCTAGTTAGTCTTTGCATATGCATGCCCCTAACCTCCATCACCTTTTTATTGTGGTAACTTTTTTTCGCAAACAAATTTGTTTAGCATGGCACTACGGCCAGATACATGTGCACTAGTAAGTTATCTACAAAACCTTTAAGATTGGTTACAACTTCCATTCTTATTATTGTTATTACATATTGAGCTTAAATTGGCTGAAGAAGGAAGTGCCCCTATGTAATATTTGTAAGTTACATCTATGCATTTTTAGTAGTTCTTATTAGGTTTCTTATGCAAATTAACCTAGATGGTTATTTATTTGAGCACTAATATTATGAATATAGGCTATAAATTACTTTCAAAACACTACTACAGAAACATTATCCCCACCGACAACGAAACCGCCATGACTACCGGTTCTGCTATCCGGCAATGAAACTGGTTGGCGATGCTCTCCTTCATCACCATCAGTTTGAAACCGATGGTGAAAATATAATAAAATCATTCAAAAAGAAATGCATGTGGCATTCGCGCCTACTGATGACGTTTGTGTCAGCCCACTGACGAGAACCTAACATATGGGGGTATGTTAAGTCCCCGGGCCAACGGCGCACAGTCTGACTAACCCCCAGGCTAACTCGCGTGCACCCATTGGTAGAAGAAGGATGCCTCGACAACCCATAGATAGCCCTCCCCGAGGGAGCCTTCAGTATAAGAAGGGCGAGCCTAGAAGAGGCAAGGTCGCCATCGCATAGGGCTCGGCAGCTTGACTTGAACGCGGGGATTCCCGGCCAAAGGGAAGCCCCAGCGGCCATCCCAACCTTGGGTCGGGGCCAACGACCATCCCGAGCCAAGGCCTAAAGCCAGCTCTAGAATATGTCAGGAGCCAAGAGCCTAATAGATGCAGAAGCACTACACCGCCATCCCATTCGACAACAGCGAGGCACTGTTGGCCACTCCCTCGGCAAGGTCACAGAGGACAAGGAACTCCCCCAAGCCTGTGTTACAGAGGGCCCTGGGCCCACTCGTCAGCCCCTCTAGGTGTGGCCGAGGCCTTGGATGCCAAGGAAGTGTCGAGAAAGCCCACCTAGGGACTGCTCAACTGTAGCAGACAGCGCCTAGCGGTTAAGCGCTAGACAGCAATGGAGATGTTAGAGAGTGATTACGACATTGTCGGCCATCAGATTCAAGACAACGAAGGGTTGGGACGACGGCGCCAAGAGAATAGCGATGAGAAGGCCTAGGTAGATGAAAGCACCCAATTTGCACCCCATTTCCTCCTATGTATATAAGGGGAGGCATAGGTTCCTATAGAAGGGACGGACAAAAAAGAGGGACCACCCTGATCAGATCCACAAGCATCAGACTTGGGGACGATTGGACCGAGATGAGTTGATCGTGAAATCTCACCATAACCTTAGAATAGCACCACGCTATTCCCTTCCTCTCTCCCTCGATTCCTCCATTGTAAACACCTTTGACTCAACATTCCTAACACGAAGAACACCATACTGCTGAACGTAGGGATCCAAAGCCCGAACCAGGATAGATACCCCATGTCCCTGAGTGTTTTGAGTGCTTGAGCCACCGGTAGGTCACACATCGACCCCCTTCTAAACAAATACGATGCTCGATATGGTTATGAACCCACAACACCCACACTGTCCATGCCTGCTTGAGCTTGTTACACCTGACAAGCCCACTCGTGCCGAGGGCTGCCATGACATTGGGTGGGGTCCGCCTCAATGCCAAGGGTGGATCCGAGTCAAGAGGAGCTGCCACACCACCGAGGGATGCTAGGGTTGGGTCCCTCGCCTACGCTGAGTGCAGATCTAGGTCAAGGCCTACGCGGTTGAGGGAGAGAAAGAGAGGGTCAAGGAGGTAGTGCGTGGTTGAGAGAGAGTGTGGCCGGCAGGTAGTGTGAGTGAGGGAGAGAGTGGATCACGGTTACATGTGACTATAATTACATGTGATTTTTGGTAAGTGATAATGTATTAAAATTAATACATGGTATTAGTAATTCCTATGGCCGCAACTCTTTAGATGGTCATGAGTTTAAGATTTCTAAACTTCTAGTATATATCCTTTGGTCGCAAAGGGCTTCTAGTGTTTAAGGTATAACTCCCAAAATGTATGGACGTCAGAGAACCCACCAAGCCCAAACCCACAAGTTACATGGGACCTATTTGGGATGGCTCTGGCTCCGTCTCCCACAATAGATTCACTAGAGGAGATAGAGCTGTTTTTTCTGTAAAAGCCGGAGCTGTAATTTGTGAGTCCTCCCTTTAGCTCCGACTCCTCCAGAGGAGCACCTAGGGTTGGAGCCGTGCCAAACAAGCACATAATATCTCCTAGCCCGAGTGTCCGGAGTCTGATCAAAATCAGCAATTTATAGCACGGACTATAGAAGCCAATCAGTACTGAACATAGCTGCTTAATGATGGGAATGTAGACTTTTCTCTTGTTACATAACTTAGTTTGCCCTAAATTTTCAGAAGTCCTAATACTATTAACTTTTAAACATCTAATTTAGTTAGAAACATTAGAATAACATATGTAACTTTTATTCTTTTCTCTAATAGCACCTTCATAAATTATGATTTTACTAGATCCTGTAAACATACTAAAATAAAATTATGATTTGAAGTTCTAATTTTAATTACTTAAAAAGTTAAGAAAAGTACTCATGCGGCCTTCAGTAAATCTGTATATTGACAGTTTTTACTATGGACATTTGAGAAATTATCCATGTAACTTACCCCACTGGTCTCATCTCTAGAATGGCTAAGATTGTCCCAGAAGATCCATGTCGGCTAAGCATAGGGATATACATTAGGTTTACCTGCGCATCCAAGAAAGAACGAATAAGAGAGAAAATAAAGTAGCTTCTGCAGGTCAAGAGCTAGTGCGTACTTAGTTGCGGGTTAAAGAAGATTCAATATGTGACAACCAAAGATGAGATGGGTTTTTATTTGGCCCTGAAAATTTTTTCCATTCCTATATGACATTGTGTTCAATTTTTTTAAGCCCAAACACTTTGGTAAAGGTAACACCGTTAAGAGGCAGGAGAAAGACCATTTTGCACCTAATGTCTAGTGGTAGCTTGAGCCCACGTCCCAGCAAATCCTCTATTTTGTATTTTCTCTCAGGACCCGGCAAAGCTAAGATCGACGAGAGGCCGACATTCTGGTAACTTCATGGCTGATATAGTTGCGACATGATCTGTGCTATATATGTTGGTTATTGACATAAAGTATAATCAACATACATACATTAGGATACATTTATTAATGAGTAAATTTCAATAACGATCGTCACACTTGTCCTAAAAATTCTCATCTAGGTCCAAGTCCTTTCAAATTGCACATTCAGCTCCCTAAAACTGTCTCAATTTCTCATCCCAGTCCCGGTACTTTCAAAATACATACTAAGCTCCATAAACCTGTATTATTGTACCATCCTGGTCCATCACCTTGCCCTATGCGGCATTGCATGTGCCCACCACATTGGTGCGGCCACACCGTGCTCGCCCATCCATAGTGGTGTAGCGCACGGGGCTGAGATATGTTGTGGGAGCTAAGGAGGGATGTGTAGACATAGCTTCCTAGGACCTGCTACACCGCTTGGATGCCCTTGTCATGCTTGCCCTACCGCACGTCCCAACCAAGCCTTCGCCGTTGTGGTCCTCCTTGATTTCTCTTGACTCGTTCCCGTTCCACCTCACCATGGCGCCAACCCTTGCGTAGTGGCAGTTGCATTGAACAACAACACCGCACTCCTTCTCCCCCCATCTCACAAGAGCTCATGCTCATTCTCGCCATTTCGCATTCAGTTCCCCACTCTCCTAGCCTTCCTCGCTTCCCTCGGCCATGAGTGGGCTAGCACAGTAGGGTGAGTGTAGCACGCGGCATGGTGGCACGAGCAGGCAGGCATGGCCTAGCATGGTAGCATTCCAACGATGCAACATAGGTAGGCGCAAGGTAGTAAGGCGAGCATGGTGTAGTGCTATATGGCTATGCAGGTAAGGCGATCATGTGTAGTGATGTGGGGACGGTGGTGCAAGGGTGGATGGACCTTAACGGTATAATAAAACAACTTTAGGAACCCGACTGTGCAATTTGCAAGTATCAAAATCGAGATGAGAACTTGGGACAAGTTTAGCGAGTTGAATGTGTGATTTGCAAATACCCGGACTGGGATGAGAACTCATGACAAGTTTACAAAGCTGAGTGTGCAATTTGGAAGTACTAGGAACTGGATGAGAACTCAAGACAAGTTCAATGATCGCTAGTGAAATTTACTCTTTACTTAATAATTAATCAAACGGTAAAAGTCTTCCTTAACAAACCACCTATATAAACAATGATACTGGCAATTTATTTGAAATTACATTTATAAGATATGGAAATAAATTTTTCTTTTTTTTCTTTTTAATAAGTTTATAAATTTTGACAGAAATGGTATGTCATATCAATACTAGTAATTTAAATTTAATTATTATATATTTCTATAAAGTAATATTACTACATATATAATTCTTTGATATAACAAGTTCAATATTTTTAATGCCAAAAAAGTCCAGGCTGAGACGATAGTTTATGCCATTTTAGTAAAATAAAATTTTAATCAAAGCTACAGGAGTGAATATAAACTTCTAGTACATAACATGGTGACTATAAAATGCAAGAGCTGGTAGTGCTATACATATTACATATACAATAATTTTTGCCATGTGGCTGCTTGCAGGTGGTCAGAAATGAAAATAACGATGAACAAAAGGTTGATACACTGAAGGACATTGGAATGTCCATTATAGCAAAATGTGATGGTTTGCCTCTCGCAGTCAAAGTAATAGGAGGCCTTCTCCGCCAGAAAAACACAAGGCGAAGTGACTGGGATAATGTCCTAAACAATTCTACATGGTCAGTGTCCCAAATGCCTGAAGAGCTAAACTATGCAGTATACCTTAGCTACCAAGATTTGCATCCTGAGTTGAAGTCTTGCTTTCTGCACTACTCCCTCCTCCCCAAGAGCACGGTGTTCAGGTATCGACGCATTGTTGCTATGTGGATTAGTGAAGGATTTGTTCATGGAAACTCACAAGATTTAGAAGTATTAGGAAAAGAGTACTATGACCAGTTAATTGCTAGGAACCTTCTAGAGCCAAATCAAAGGTTTGTCGACCAGGCAGTTTGCAATATGCATGACGTCGTTCGCTCATTCGCTCAGTATTTAGCTAGAGATGAAACAATAATAGCTTACAAAAGTGAGGCTAGCCTTACCAATAAAATTAATCCCCAAAATGTTATTCGGTTATCACTAAAAACCAAAGGGTCAGAGTCAAATGAGCTAACGTGGAGTTCTCTACAAGCACATATATCTCTAAGAACACTGATTTTAGATGGACAAATAAAGATCAACTCAGGTGATTCACTGTCATCTTTTTCATGTTTGCGGACCCTACATATCGAAGATGGAAATTTTGATGCATTGTCTAAATCATTGGTCCAACTCAAACACTTGAGGTATTTGTCCCTAGATGGCACTGACACATCTAGGCTACCAAAAAAAATAGCCAAGATGAAATTCTTGCAGTGCGTTGACCTTTCCAATTGTAAAAGTTTGGTGAAGCTTCCTGGTGGCATTGGAAAGTTAAGGCAGCTGAGGTATCTTAGTCTTTTTGACTCAGGAATATACAATATACCCAGGGGTTTCGGCGGCCTAACTAATTTGAGGATATTGATGGGGTTTCCAGCCCACGTGGAGGGCGATTGGTGTAGTTTGGAAGAATTAGGATCTCTTAACCAGCTCATGCGTCTTCATATACATGGCCTGCAGAATGTATCTTCCTCCTCCTTTGCTTTAAAGGCCAGGCTTGGTGAAAAGGTGCACCTCCGCTATTTGTGGTTACAGTGCACTAGTGTACCAGGAGGTGCTCATTGGTTGGTAAAACAGGAAGAGCAGCAACAAATCGAGAAGGTGTTTGATGAGCTCTGCCCTCCACCTTGCTTAGAACATCTTGAAATCGAAAGGTACTTTAGTCAACGACTTCCAAAGTGGATGACGTCGACAGTAATTGCTTCCTTTGGAAGCTTGAGGATTCTAGGGATGGAAGAATTGCCTTATTGCACGGAGCTACCTGACGGCTTGTGGCAGCTCCCCAGCTTGGAGTTCCTAAAGATTCAGAGCGCCCCAGTCATCAAGCGTGTTGGACCAGAGCTCCTACTGCCACACCGTCATGAGCACCCAAGCCCTATGAAAAATGTTGGCTCTGATTTGAAAATTGAGGTGTTCAGATGTCCTGGCCTCGAGAGGATCAGCAATCTGCCAAAATTGCAGAACCTCGTGATCATAATGTGCCCAGAGTTGAACGTACTAGAGGGTTTGCCTGCACTTCAGAGACTCTCACTGGAGGATTACGACATGAAAACGCTCCCTGGATACTTGCAGAACGTAAACCCAAGGGATTTGCATCTTGACTGTGACATCTCGCTGCTAACTTTCATAGCTAAAGGCGAATCTGGCCCCGAGTGGGACAAGTTTAGCCATATCAAGCAGGTCAATGCATATGCAGATGATAATGACAACTACATTCCAAGGAAGTGGTACGTGAAGTACACGAGAGATACTTTTAGCTTCAAGACAAACATCAGCCCCTCTGCTGACGATTCAGGTAAATTAACACAACAGCTGCTTACGTTGCATACTGAGTACCTTTCCTGCAATCCTTTTCTTTCAAGTTCTCGTCACTTGACTGCAAGTGCTGTTTCAGATGATGACATGGAGGAAGTGCTATTGGACGAAGTGGAGAATATTTCAAGGGACGAAATGGAAGTAGAATGTGTGGATATGGAACAACTGAGGGAGTAATCAAGTAAGCTGCTACATACGGTGTTAGTTACTAGTTGTTCGTTAAGTGGCATCTAACACTGCCGAGTATATATAAAACGCAGTTGTACCTTGCCTGCAGTTGGAGTGCCCAACAACACTTTCATCCAAATAAAATATGTGACCTACTACATGGACAGAAGGAACCTTTGGAGGCTTGGAGCTGCCATCGCGTGACTAAAGAAGCAGCAATGCAGAATTTGTGATGTGAATTTATTCCTTTTTTTAGCCTGTGGATTGTTCTGAGGCGGTCAACACTGCAAATAAAATGAGATTAGAATGCGATGTTAATTTGTTCATTTTTCTTCAGTGATCTGTGTATACGTTACAGTTGAATTTCGATGCAGTTTGCCACTTGAGAATTGAGAGGCATGTGTATATATAAGTTGAGTCGTTACAGAACAAACGTTATGATACAGCTTCTTTCAGCTTGATGGTTTATGGTGTGTCGGAAATGCTGCTTGCGAAGTGAATGTACATAGCAAGCCTCACTTCAATTTCTGGTTTACTAATAATCCAAATGGTGTGAGCTGCTTCTATCTATCAAGGCAAGTCATTGAAAAAAACTGACAATGTAAAGACCAGATCCGATCCTTTGCACAAATTTACTCCTGAATCAATCATGTTTAGCATCTTCTTTAGGACAGACTTCAGACGTCTCAGATCAGTTGCCAAAATTTATTTCTTAAAGAATTGTAGCTTGCACCAGACCATCATAGGAGAACATGCAACTTCTTGAGAGTTTTCAGATAATGCATACTCGGTGCTTGCCACAACGTTACAATTATGCATGCCTGGTACAATTCAATGTGTTCCAGTACAGAAAAAAAATGACGAGTTGACTTATGTGAAATGAGTTCTTACAATCTAATGCCTACAACTGTCATACACTGATAGTAGCAACACTGAGTCGCTGATGTACAATAAAACTTGGAACCTCCAGACATACAGAAGAAGATTATGATGACATGTCATTGTTCGGCAGGGTGGGGGACTCGGTATGATAATATCTGTGCTTCGCATAAGTAGCAATGTCCATGACTGAATGCATAGTCCATCAAAGAAGAAAATAGCAGACTCATCAATATCAGCATATCTATATCCTAATGTTCAAATTATCGAGCAAAATAAATCAGATGATGTAAGTCAGCGCCAACCAAGCAGAATTCCTGTATTATACCAAATTAAAATCAACGCGCAGGTAGCATCATACAACAGAAAATTCATCTCCTGCCCATTCTAACATTTTAGCTTCTCTATCTTCTGCAGGCTAGAAAAAACACTAACACGCAGGACTCATTACAATTTGGTGACAACCAACTCTACAATGGCATTGAAGAACAGAGGGCCAAACCCCATGTTTAGATCAGCAACCATGTAGGCTATATTTGCATTATGTGCCTAAATATTGAAGAAATCATCAATCTACTGAGAAGAAACATGCATGCATGAGGATCGGAGAATATGTGTATGCTTGTCCATCAAGATCACATGTTTGAGAATATGTGAAGCAATCTCTAGCAGACATGTTGCTATGTGTTCTTCAGGTTATTAGTCAAGTAAACTTTAGACTTACTGATTTATTTGCCCATCACAAAACAATCTGAGGTGGATCCAGGCCTAGATCGACTGACGCTGCAACAGCAGACCCAAATTAATTCTGAGGCATCCAGAGAAGAAGATTGTTCTGATTAAAAAAAACGTCGAGAGACACGTTTGGCCTCAGATTAGCATTTTGGCACAGTAATCATGGCCGCTGATATCTCGAGCAAAAGATTGCCCGAAGCACAAAATAGTTACCAAGGCTCATGCCATATGCTTGTCATCACCGGCAATGCACGACTCAAATCTAAGGCCTCTCCATTAGTGTTTAAAAGGCGACTAGGCATCCACGCAAGCTGGATACGCCTAGATGCCTAGGCGACGCCTTTGAAACACTGCTTTGCGTAAGACACCGCCTCTAAAAATTGTAATTGGATTTTCAAAGACGGGCCTCGTAAGAAGGCTGTCTCTGAAAATAGTCTTTTTCAGAGACGGTCTTTTTAATGTGCTTGCCTCTGAAAATCTATTTATAAAGTTTGTTGTGGGGTTACAAACGAGAGAGAGTAAGATGGGGGGTGCAAGAGGTCCGGTCGGACTCTGGTCCGAAGGGCCGAGAGTGACGGGAGCTCCTACGTGCGTTGAGTGTTTGAGCGTGGTCTGAAGGGCCGAGAGTCACAGCAGGAGGCAAAGTCGACGCCGCCTTCCTCTGCTGTGTTCATACAAGGTGACAGTAGATTAGCTAACAGTTTCGCCATATCAAGCAGGTCAAGGCATATGCACATGATTACAACAACAACATTCGAAGGAAGTGGTATGTGAAGTACACGAGAGATCCTTTCAGCTTTAAAACAAACATCAGCCTCTCTGCTGACGCTTCAGGTAAATCAACACAACTGCTGCATACGTTACATACTTGGAATATCTCGTCACTTGACTGCATGTGCCGTTTCAGAGGATGAAATGGAGGAAGTGGAGGAAATTTCAAGGGATGAAATCAGCCTCTCTGCTGACGCCTCAGGTAAATTAACAGGACTGCTGCTTTATGCGTTGCATACTGAGTATGTACCTTTCTTGCTGTTGGAATATCTCGTCACTTGACTGGATGTGACGTTTCAGGGGATGAAACGGAGGAAAGTATTGTTGGACGAAGTGGAGGAAATTTCAAGGGATGAAATCCAAGAAGAACGTGTCAATGTGGAACAACTGAGGGAGTAATCAAGTACGCTGCTCGAAGACTATTGGTCCCGTTCGGATGGTACGGTTCTGGAGGAATTTTGATTGTTTAGAGGAATTCTGGAGAAATTTATAAGAGGAAAATACTGTTTCAAATGAAAAAAGAAGCAGATCAAGTTGAGTTTAAAGACATGCGAACAGGGCCATTATTATTACCACATATAGTACTAGTTACTACTTCTTCGTTAAGGTGCATCTAACACTGCAGATGGACCTTGCCTGCAGTTGGAGTGCCCGTCCGTGACCTCCATTGACAGAAGGAAACTTGGAGCTGCCATCGCTTTGACTAAAGAAGCAGCAATGCATAATTTTTGCTGTGTGAATTTATTCTTTTTTTTTTTTTGCCAGCGGGTTGTTCTGAGGCGGTCAGATATTTGACATTGCAAATAACAGGAGACTAGAATGTGATGTGAATTTGTTCGGTTTTTTTTTCCAGTGATTTACGTATTAGATAATCTACTGTTTTCTTGTGTGAACACATAGCAAGGGAAGACGGCGCCGAAAAGACCCTCTGCTGTGATACTGTAGCCGCTATAGAGGCAGGCGCTGAATGGCTCACCTGCCGCACTGTAGCCACATACAGGGACAGACGTAGAAATTAGTCATGTTATGTTATCTAGTTACTATTGCAGTATGTGCTCTGTACTAGGACTAGATGGATAGAGTTGTATATATGGTTTGCCACTGCAAACTCAACAAAGGGAGTTCAGTTTTGTCATCTCCTATGCAGGGCTCTAGCCAACGCTGGTGCTTGTACTGTGTGTATACTCTGTTCTCCATCTTCTTTTACCTCTAGTCATAGTGTGTATGGTCGGACAGCCTCGGTCGTGCTCGGCCGTGGTCGACAAGACTGGTGAGTGGTCGACTCACCTGAGCCGGTGATCCTATGGGCTAACAAGTGGTATCGGAGCTGTACGAACGTCGTTGCCAGACTAACCGTTGGCAATGACGAACGGTTCGGAGATGGGCGACAGCAGTGGCACAGCTGTGGCTGCCCAGCCACGACCATAGGTCGTTGTTCGCACGGTGCGGGAGGTCAGCGGCACCAGTTGGCCGACGCTGACTCGTACCAACTATGGAGAGTGGTCGGTGACCATGAAGGTCAAGCTCAGGGCCCGACGGCTCTGGAATGCTGTTGACAAGGGCACCGACAATGAGGAAGATGACATGTCAGCGTTGGACACTATCCTCGCTGCTGTACCGGTGGAGTACAGGGAGCCATTTGGGACAAAGAGCTCGGCTAAGGAGGCATGGGTGGCTATTGCGGCGATGCGCTTTGGTTCCGACCGCGCAAAGAAGGCGACGGCCCAGCTTCTGAAGTAGGAGTATGCCAACCTCAAGTTCAAGGATGGTGAAACGGTGGAGGACTTCTCTCTCCACCTATAGACGCTCATCAGCAAGCTGAAGAGCCATGGCGTCACCATCGACGAAGAGGAGACGGTCTCCAAGTACCTCCACTCCGTGCCGGCAAAGTACATCCAGATCACTCTCTCCATAGAGACGATGCTGGACTTATCCACCCTCACCATTGAGGATGTGACAGGCCGTCTGCGGGCGGTGGACGAGCATTTGGAGCAGGCGACAGCAACGAAGGATAGCGGCAAACTGTTGCTGACAGAGGAGGAGTGGGCTGCTTGGAGGAACTCTAGAAAGGTAGCCTCCTCTAGTCGCGGTGGCGATGGCAACCGCCGCGGCAAGGCTTCTTCAGAGAAGAAGAAGCAGGTCGACCCCAACTCCTGCCGACGTTGTGGGAAGATGGGCCATTGGGCATGGGAGTGCCCAAATCGTAAGCAGAAGAAGAAGGCTGAGACTCATCTGGCGAGAGCTGATGATGATGATGAGGCCACTATCCTGATGGCGACGTTCTGTGCACTGCACGACGTCGAGGACGAGGAGAAGGAAGAGGCGACGACTATAGAAGGACCTGAAGGCTGTCAACCTCGATGAACCACGCGCCCAAATCCACCTTGGACGTGTGGGCGCCGACCAGGAGCAGCGGTGGTATCTGGACTCTGGTGCCAGCAACCACATGATAGGCTCCAAGGCATCCTTCTCTGAGCTCGACGACGATGTTACCGGTACGGTGAAGTTTGGTGATGGCTCAAGGGTGGCTATCCAAGAGCGCGACACCATCATCTTTAGGTGCTAGAATGGGGAGCACCGCGCGCTAACGGATGTATATTACATCCCGCAGTTGTGTTCCAGCA